TAGTGTTGGGATCTTGGAAATTGGGTCATTGCGTCATTGTCACCATCCATGAAAATTAAATTTGAAAATTGGAAAGCTTTTTGAAGGCAACTGAAGGTCTACTATTCAGAATTTAGTATTGCAATTCTTAGACATTAGATATTAGAGAGGAAAAAAGAGAAAACACTCAAAAAATATAAACAAATAAAATAGTAAGTAAATAAAGGTTTCTTTTTGATTGGGTGAATATAGTCTAATACCATGATAAACAAAGATGATGGTAGGAATGGCAATAGGGTGAGTTCAGGACGGGGATCATATTTTTCATTCTCGACTCCGATTCTGAAATTAATCCCCTTTTCTATCTCTAATCCCTATTAGGGATGTAAAAAACTGCCATTCCGATCCCTGGCCCCATTGATTTTAATCTCATTTTCTCATCTTTTTCAACACCTCTCTTATAAGCATATTTAGATGCTGATTGGGCGAGATGATAGTAGAAGATTTACTGGAGGATATTCTATTTTTCTTGGTTCACATCTATGGAGGATATTCGTTTAAGCACTGAATCAGAGTTCAGTACTGATGCTGCTTGATCCGAGGTAGTGTAGGAACCAATGTCATAGTCAGATAGTCCTTTCTACAGACAATGCCAATCTGATGTTGCTCGATCTGAGGTAGTGTAGGACTCGAGGTCACAGTCAGATAGCCCTTGCCAACTGGGCGGAGACTAAGTGGAAGGATAGAGCCATGCAATGAGATCTGAAACCAAGAAAATGTCAAAGGCCCGAGGAATTATCCCCGAATAGATACTCCGACGCTTAAGTCAGTAGAGGGCAGTAGAGAATCGGGCCAAGCAATTGGAGAACAGTACTAGTCCAAGTAGTATAACGGCATGAAGACTAGATGTTGGAATCTCTTACTTTGAGCGGGAGGTACATTTTTATAGCCGAAGATCCATGTCCTTGTCGGATGAGGCTTTCGAGGTCGTCTAGATGAGATTAGTTGCCAAGGTTTTTGGAATAAGTCTTGATCCCTAGCGGGGTTATCCCCATCCGCTCTCCTATCTTGGTCGTGCTTATCCGTATGACGTGAAATTGTCATAGTTGGGGGATAAGGTAGGGGCCACGGAAATAGTACAGTGCTGATATGGCTGCGGAGTTGAAGTAGGCCACGGAGGTGGCACAACGATGATGTGGCCGCGGAATCAAGGTAGGCCACGGAGGCGGCACGGCTCTGATGTGACCATGGAATCAAAGTAGGCCACGGAAGCAACGCGACGCTAACATAACCGAAGTGATTGGTCGGTCACGTGGCATCCGAAGCCAGCTCGACCATGACCCGAACAGGTACTTACACCAATACTGCCGTTGAAGTCTTATCGATACACTCACTATTGAGAGAAAGTAGAATATCCAAACAGTGTGGATGAGTATTGAAAGAGGCTGAAGTGGAAGGAATATCGTAGACACTACGTTGATGACGATGGATAGGTATTACTTGCGATGTAATCCCTATCCATCGCAAACATACACACGTACTGCTTAAAACAAATGGCAGATACGTGGTCTTGTCGTTTTATACACACGTATTAGAGTTCACATCCTCTCTTCCCTTGGCACATAAAATTTTCTGTACCGGATTAATAACAATCTGCCACATCATTTAAAAAAATCACTTTAATTTTGAATTGGGAAAACAAACTGGTGTAACAGATTTTTATTGGTCTAGTACAACAAAATTTCTGCACCAAGGGAGGGAACAGACAATGTGAATTCAATACTGCTAATTAAGCAATCCTAATTAGGTAGCATAGTTATTAATTCTAAAAGTTACAATTAATTCAAATTTGTTAATAATAATAATAATTTATAGTAATTTTTATTAATTGAAAATATAATTAAATTACTAATATTATATATATAATTAATTTATAATAGAATTAGTTTTATAAATAAAATTAATAAATAATAGTAACCTTATAAAATTAAATTTTCTATGAGAAACTTATTAAATTTTAAACTAACTTTTATTAATTTAGATTCTGTTTGAAATAATTACATTAATAACAAATAAGTGTGACAAATGGTAGTTGTTTTTATTGATGTTGGATATAAGATATAAAATTTAAAACTGACCAAAAAATGAAATTGTTTTTCGGGTGGCGGGTCAATAGTTTAACCTTTCAGGTCTTATGTGTCAACCCTTCTATGATCTCATAATTAAATAAAAATTAAAAAAAAATAAAAATATAAAAAAATATGAAAAACATAAAAACATTATAGAAAACATTTGGATACATCTCTAATATTTTATATTAATCATATTAAAAATTAAACATGACAAATTTTTCATCCACACTACAGGTGTGGTGTAATTGAGAATACACCACCCAATTTTTTATCCACACTATATAACACCTCCCTAATCTACCGCAAAATTAAACTCAATAAGTTATAAAGAATTCAAAACACTAAGATCAGTTGTTACTTGTTAGAGCAATGATTTGAGTTCCTTTGGTAGGGCTGAGCTGAAGATTCAGTAGCTTTGAAGCACTTTGGATAAACTAGTGCCTGTTTGGGAGTGCTGACAGATGAGCTGAAGATTCAATTAAGTTGGTTCAGGTGCTTTGGAGTGCTCAGGATAAGCTATTGAAAGAGGCTGAAGTGGACAATCCGACAATGACTGTCTGACAGGCAAATTTGGCTCTCAGCTGGATTTTTTATCAAATAGGCAAATATTGATTAAAGGGGCTGTCCGCTGCAGCTTATTTTAATAGTTTATTAGGTGCGTTTCAAAGCAGCTGAACCAGTTTACCTTAATCTTCTTCAAATGACTGACTGACAGATCTGGGTTCTCCGGATTTTTTACCAAAATAAATTATCCATGTAGAGCTCACCTTGGAAAACCATGAGCACTCGAGTTTCCGGCCGACCTAGTTATTCAATACTTGAAAAGTTGTAAGATGGAGTGCTGGACCAGACCGTTTTGGTCCATTTTGGTGGTTCTGAGATTTTAACGATCAAACCAACTTCTGACTGAAACCACCGTTCCATTATTCTACTATTGATTGTAGAGGCTGATTGCTATTAACCAATCTCTATACAATGCAAATAACCTTCTTATTGCCCTCTTTACTATGTCTGACGAGAACAATACATTCTCTTTAGATGAAGTGAAGAAAATTAGAAATTGCCCATGAGTTTAAAGCTCTCATTTTTCACTGTAATTGACTAACCGAGCTGGGCTTGGGTATTGTAACTTGGGCTTGGCTTTAGTTTTAATCCCAGTGGTGATAGTCTTCATTATATATTTGGGCTTGCTATGGATATTTCATGTAGATTTTGTTTGGTTAACCCCTGCAACCAGATTCTAAATTCTAAAATTCCAGTATCAGTAAATTGTAATTCGTTTTTTTGCAATGCAATTTCATTTGCATTAGTACAGATGCATGGGAGTGCAAATCAAATGTGTAAATTCTGCTTCGCTTTTACTTCGGATTTTAATTACTTTTCTTTGGATGTTATTATACTATAGTTGCATTGGAATCACTTAAAATTAAAGTAAGACTTGAAACAAATATGAATCAGAATTTTCATTCGACATAACTCATCTGCACTGCCATGCTTTTGCATCAATGCAAATGAAATTGCATGACAAACAAACTAGGCCAGTAGTGTTTAAATGAGGGAAATGTACATTCTGGTTTACTTTTGTTTCGGGTTTGACCTTATTTTATTTGTTAATGAGAAATGGAAAGTAGACTGATCTGGTTCACACTTATTGAAAAAATATTGGGGGGG